AGGCCCAGCGCGGCGCCCGCAGCTCGGCGGGGCGGCGTCCCCGCCGTTTCCCGCGCCGGACCCCGCGAGGCTTCCACCCGGCCTTCCCCGCTCGGGACTCTGGCGCCCGGGGGACTCCGTCTCTCGGCTCTATTATGGCACCTCTGGGCGGAAAGGAGTCCGCCTCACGCTGGGGACCCAACGGCACGGGGCCGCCCGGAAATTCGAAGCCGACCGAGTTGAAAGAGAGGAACGCTGGATTTAAGAATCTCCAGCGTCGCCCCCAACCTCAGTTAGCCGACGGAGGAGTCCCGGTGTTGGCCGGAGAAGCGGGGGGCTTGGGGGTCGGCTGTCCATTGTCCTGAGCTGCTGTGGGCGGGGCGGGGGGACTTCTTGGGGGAGCCCCGCCGGCCTTCCTCTGAGCTGTTACCACACCGAACGCAATCCTATTCGTAGCCGACACTTATCTTTTAAACGCGACCTTTGTGTGTAATCTTGTTTTCCCAACTAAATTATAAATTATTTCTGGTCAGGAATACACTTTTCCCTTTAGTCTGCCACATGGATGAATCATCGCACGGTTCACGCACACACACTCGGGTAGAAGTGAGTTAATTAACCAATGGCTCGCAGCAGCTCTGGTTCGGGTGTTTTCACCCGGCGCACAGCCCTCAGGAATGCAATCACGAGGCAATTAGAGAGCCGTGCGAGGAAATCTGTAATCAACTCCCGCACGGGATGAGGTAGAGGCTGCTCCGAGCGCAGCCTCGGTCTGTGGTCGTGGCTGTCGAGGAGGGTAACCAACCTGCCGGCCCTCGCGGGCCACACCCTGGCTGGCTTAGTGGGCCTGCTCTGGAGACTGGAATCCGGGGGACTCCCAGGCTCCAGCCAGCCTGCCTCGGCATGTCAGAGGGGAGCAGCTGGGGACCGGTGGGCTTGGAAGCGATAAACTGGGCCCTCCAGGAAACGAGGGGGTGTCTCCACTCGGATCCAGCCTCTAACGCTGCTCAAACTTGTGGTCCGCTGGTCCCCGTGCGGTGATCAGAGTGATCAGAGAGGCGTCGATCAGAGCCTTCCCCTCAATTAACCCTGCGTCACTGGGTGGCGGCCTATGGAAAGGTAGAAACTGGCGCTGAGGTTGTCAGGAGGTCGCTGGGAACTCAATACAACCAACCAGGTCAGAGCCAGATCGGTAACCAACTGCACCCGGGATCTAGGCCGTCAAACCCTCCAAAGGGAGCGCCCCACCCCCCACTCCCGCTGCATTCTGGAACGCGTAGTTCCCGAATGGGTGAGACCTGTGAGCACCGAAGAGGAATAACAAGAGCGGGGCACCCTGGGAGTCGCGGGCGCGCCGCCGCGGAGACTCCCGGAAGACGGACGCACGGTGCATTCTGGGACTTGAAGTCCACGGGAGCCTCCACGATGGAACCCGGTCCTGGGAGTGGAGCGCCGCAGACTGCCTGGGCACAGCCTGCTGGATGTTGTAGTTCTCGAGCCCAGCCGCTCCAGACGTTCCTGGGAAACATGGCCCATAAGGGACTACAAGTTCCAGGAGCCCCTGCTCAGACACCAGGGAGGGCGGGGCCGGAGCTGGGGTGCCGCCTCCTCTGCAACGCCCGGGCTGGAGTCTTAGAACCCAGGGCCCGTAGGGGTCCCCGCGGCCGCCGGGATGCAGAAATACGAGAAACTGGAGAAGATTGGGGAAGGTAATGGAACCACGAGATGTTCCTGCCAGGTCTTCTGCAGACCCTTCAGCATTCTTTGCAGCCCTGGCTCCCCTCAGCAATCAATACCAGCAGGCTCCGACCTCAGCACTGGCAGCAGCCCTGGCCGCTGAGCCCAGCCTCCGTACAGACACCAATTTCCCCGTTATCATTTCCCCTAGACGCCCACCCCCAGCCTGTAGATCTGACCTCCCAACCGCGGCACTTTCTGCATTTCCCACTCCTAGCTTCAGCACCACTTGCAAACCTCCACCCCAGCTTCAGTTCGCCGAACACCCCCAGTCTCAACATTTTTGCAGGCCCTCATTTCTCTCCCAGACTCATCACTCTTCCCAGACCCTCCTGATGGACTGCCATCATTATAGATTTCTGTTCGGAAGATTCTCCCTCCTACTAGGACCCTTGATCCTCTGATGACACCTTCTTGTACTTCCCTACCAACCACATCCTCACTCACAAAGCTGGCCTTCACCATGAAACCTTTCCCTTGCACACTCAAGTGCTGCTCTCACTCCCGAGAGATTTCCTGGAGAGAGAAGATAGCCATCCTTTCACTTACCCATGACCTCCTTCCTTCAGGTACCTATGGAACAGTGTTCAAGGCCAAAAACCGGGAGACCCATGAGATTGTGGCTCTGAAGCGAGTGAGGCTGGATGATGATGATGAGGTAGGATCAGGACATGGCCGGTGGGGGTCGAGATCCGGACTGGATGGTCTGTGACTGTTGCCCCCTGGCTCCTTCCCTTGTGTAGGGTGTACCAAGTTCAGCACTCCGGGAGATCTGCCTACTCAAGGAACTGAAGCACAAGAACATCGTCAGGTGTGTGCTCTGCAGATGTTGCCTGTGTTGGCTGGTTGGAGGAGTTAGAGGCCTCATGTTGGACTGGGCTGGTATTGGGGTGTTAGGGACCATCAATGAACCTGGCTGAGCTCTTCTTTCTCTCTAGGCTTCATGATGTCCTGCATAGTGACAAGAAGCTGACTTTGGTTTTTGAGTTCTGTGATCAGGTGAAAGAGAGGCTGTGGGGGTGGGGTGGGAGGTGATCTTGAGAGGTTATAGAGGCCCACACTGAAGATAAAGTCTGTCTCTCATCCCTTTCTAGGACCTGAAGAAGTATTTTGACAGCTGCAATGGTGACCTGGACCCTGAGATAGTGAAGGTGAGGAGACGGGGGCCTGGGGACTCCTGGAGGCTGGAGTGGGGCTATATATACTGTAGGTACTTCAGGAGTGCACAGTTGGAGTATGAGAGGAACCTTGTTTATGCCTTCCAGAAACCTCCAGGCTTAGTGGGCATGTTCCTTTATTTTAGTTTAGTTTTTTCTTTTTTCTCTCCTTTTTTTTTTAAATTTTTGTGTGGTTTTGTTTTGTTTTGTTTTTTGTTGTTGTGAGGCTTGAATTCAGGGGCTGGGTACCATCCCTGAGCTTTTTCGCTCGAGGCTAGTGCTCTCCATTTTGAACCACAGCACCACTTCTGGGTTTCTGGCAGTTAATTTCACAGACTTTCCTGCCTGGTCTGGCTTTGAACCTGGACCCTCAGATCTCAGCCTCCTGAGTAGCTGGGATTACAGGTGTGAGCCACTGGTGCTTTTTGACAGTACCACTCTGACGTCAATGATTTTATTTGTATTCAATAGATAAGGAAACTCCTAGATAAACATTCATTCAACTGATACCAGCTGGGCCTGATGATATACACCTGTAGTCCCAGCACCCTGGAGACTGAGGCTGGAGGATCATTAAGTTTGAGGCAGGATGATCCTGCCTCAGAAGCCAAACCAAAGCAATACTTGCTGAATGTTTCACTGTGTACCAGGCACCGTTCTAGGCTCAATACCAATTGCCTTAGCCCAGGTTCTCAGGAAGTCAGCTCCTGAATTACTACAGCACTATACTATAGTTTGTTGATGTATGGGGTGTATGCTGGGGTACAGCCACACAGGGAAGGAAGAAAGAAAGGGAAGAAGGCCTGCCAGCCAGCCTGTAAGGCCCAGAATAGCGGGAGCAGAACTGCAATAGCCAGGCTGGGAAGGTGGCTCAGTGGTAGAGTGCTTGCCTTGCATGCATGAGGCCCCGGGTTCGATTATTCAGCACCACATAAGCAGAAAAAGCCAGAAGTGGTGCTGTGGCTCACCTTGAGCTGAAGAGCTGAGGGACAGTGTCAGATCCATGACTGACAAAAAAAAAAAAAAAAACTGCAATGGTCAGTGCCTTGCAACAAGAGGCCGCGAGAGTGTCTGGATGGTGCTCCGCTGAGCGGAAGTTGGGTGGGAGATAGGGAACAGCATGAGATGAGGAAGGAACAAGGCCAGCTTTAGGGTACAGCCTCTTACCCAGGATGTTGGGGGGGTGCATGTGCGCACACACGCATGCGTGTGTGTGCATGAGTGTGTATGGGCATGGGCACACATGCGTGCCCAAGTGTGCTAGAACTTGGGCTGGAACTCAGTACCTGGGCACTGACATATAGTTTTTATTCTCAAGGCTGACTCTACCACTTGAGCCACAGCTCTGTTTTTTATTTATTTATTTTTGTCGGTCGTGGGGCTTGAACTATGGGCCTGGGTGCTGTCCCTGCACTATTCAGCTCAAGGCGAGCGCTCTACCACTTGAGCCACAGCGCCACTTCTGGTTTTCTAGTGGTTTATTGGAGATAAGAGCCTTACGGACTTTCCTGCCGGACTTTCCTGCCCGGGCTGGCTTTGAACCATGATCCTCAGATCTCAGCCTCCTAAGTAGCTAGGATTACAGGCATGAGCCACCAGCGCCTGGCCACAGCTCTGTTTTTTAACTTAAAATTTGTATTGTTATTATAAAGGTGATGTACAGAGGGATTACAGTTATATTTTCAGCTTTTAGCTGGCTAATTGGAAGTAAACATCTCATGGATTTTCCTGTCCAGGCTAACCTTGAACTGGGATCCTCAGATCTCAGCTCCACAAATAGCTAGATTACAAGGGTGAGTCACTGACATCTGGTTCACCCAGGGCGCTGACTCCCATCTTCTCTGCCTCTTTCCAGTCATTCCTATTCCAGCTTCTGA